CGGGCGGCGGAGGCGGCCGCGGGGCTCTGGGGACTCGCGGGCGCTGCGAGCAGGGCCGAGCGCGAGGGCTCGAGTAAGTCATTTGTGTACGGGAGAGACACGTGAAAGGCTGTACTTTTCCATAGGTTTTGTTGCAGGTTTTTTCCGTCACTGTGTGACCGCTGAGTAATCTGCACTTCCTCGATTCTTCAAGGAGTTTGGATGAGCTGATCTTGTACCCCTCTACTTTTGTAAATAACTCTGGGTGAAAAATATATTTGACCCTATGGGTACACGTACACGTATACAGCTCCGTATGCTTCCTTAGAGAGGAGCAGTTAAGCTGGGGCCTGTCGTTTTCCCAGTAAATATGGTGCAGCAGCGTCTGCTTGGGAACCAGCCTTGGTTGTGGTGAGTTGGAATAGGAAGGCCTCTTGATCTGTCCTAGTGATCTGGTTTCATAATAAATTTATGGTTTTTCCTGGGTCTACAGACAGGCGGCGTTGCAGGACCATATTCCTCAGAGAAGGCCTTAGAACCCCGAAGCTCGCAGAACATGCCCCACTGATCACCAGCGAAGAGTCACCCTTACTCTAGTTATAAGCTCTTTTATAACTCTCCTGTTTCCTTGAGATGGAAGCATCTTAATCTGGAGAAAAAAAATTGTAATTTAAGATAGCAGAGGAAAACAGCTTGAAAAGTGGGTTAAAACTTAATTCTAAAGAAAACAACTCAATTACAGTATATAGAGGTACTACTTCTTACTCTCTTCCACAAACATAGAACTTGGTGAAAGCCTAGTTTTCTGAAAATTGCATTTATTGCATCTGAATTCCCTCCAAATAGGAGAAATATATTTTAAAGCGTTTCCAATTTTTGTATAAGACCAGATTAGTTTTTTAATCTCAGATCAGATGTAGGTAGATATGTAAGAGTTGGAGTATGTATATCAAAAATATGCACACTGCTGCTGTTTCTGTTAGTCTGAAGATAGCCTTGTATTGATAGGTTTTTGCATTGCTCTAACTGCATGTTTCAAGATAGAGTGTGTTGCTCAAGTTGCATTTCAAGCGATGAAGAGAAAGGTGTGATAGAATTGTTACTTGCAATTTGTGTCGATATTTAGAATCAATTTTGTGGTTTTTCTCAGAAATGAACATTTTGGAAATGATCTAGCCAAGCATCTTTATTTTAAAAATCACACGGTTTAGAGGAAGGTTTGGCAGGTAGTAACAAATTAAAAGTTTTCTAAAGGCTAGGATCAGTACACTTAGTTTTAAGACAGGATTCTTGCCATGTATTCCATGCAGGCTTTGAACCCACTGTGTAGCCCGGACTGGTCTCAAACTGGCAGTGATCCTCCTGCCTTAGCCTCTCAGATGTTGGAATTGCAGGTGTGCACAACCACACCTGGCCAGATTAGATTAATGCCCCTTTTTTTTCACTTTTTAGTAATAATTTCTTTCTTTGTATTTTCCTTCAGATGTTTTTCAAAAACATTGACACTGCATTTCATGTCAACCCAGTCATGCAGCTATGGGGAAGAAATACCAATATTTTATTAAGATTTTATATTTTGTAACAAAATACCACACTCTGGTTTGAAACAGCATCACAATACTTGAATGCAGTACATAAGTATTTTGTATTTAAAAGTATTTGCAAAGCTAGGTACAGTCTATTTACAAACATAGAAGAAATAGAGGTTAAGAATGAGAATGAAAGAAAAAGTTACTTCAAAATTAGATAGTTTCTTCAAATTCATTTCTTTTCAGCTTTTTGTTTTATAATGAAAAGATACTATGGCTGTAAATTCGTAGAATCCCAGATTAGCTCAGAGAACAGAGCTTGTTACCCAGTTTTATCTTTTTAATTGACGTAGTAGTATTTGTAAACTACATGTTAAAACCTTTAAAGTAGTAATTCTGTCTTATTTTGTCTCCTATTATAACTTTAACACAATGCTTGATAAAAAAATTGTTTAGTGAAAGACTAGTACCTAGGGAGGATCCAGAATTCATTTAGAAAACCTATAGAAGGACTAGAGCTTCTTCCTCCTTTCCTTGAGTCTCTAAACAACTGAAGATTGGTTTTAAGCATCTTTGAATTTCTTACTTCTGGTGTTCTTCCTTAAGCATTAGAGGGAAATAGGATTGAAGTAATTGGCATTTGTTGTTACATGCCTGGTAAGTGTCGGAAGCCTCCTAGTAAAAACCAATACTCACAGTACTCAGTGCCTACTGTGTGTGAGGCCTGAGTGATAGTAAAGAGTGTGAATCTGAAGCATGGATTCAGATCTTTGATCGGTCACTTTTGTATAACCATTGTGACCTTGGGCAGCTTACTTAACCTCTTTCCACTGCAGTTTCTTAACGTGTAGGTGGTGATAATAGATCCTTACTTGTTAGCATTGTTGAGAGTTAAGTAAGTTAAAAGTTTCCATGTATTTTCATTTTCATCAAATCCTATGATGTAGGTGCCACCACCTACGTTATTATTTATTTTATTTTTGAGTAAATATTTGGAATTTCTAGTAAGTACTCATTTCGGGCTTATTGGGTAAGCAGTGGTGAAGAAAGCTGTTTTAAGGCAGAAATGCACCAGGGGGTAAACACAGGTTGGGGAAGCATGAGAGTGAAGTTAGGTGGTTAATTGTATATCCTGTTTAAGGCGTGTCCTGCTTCTGAGATATAAAAGTGTTGGGAGGGCGCGTTCCTTTTCCAGGCACTTTTAAAGTAACTTCTCAGGGTCGAATAGCTAAGTGTCATAGTAGGCTTTAGCCTGTATCTGTTTAACTCACAAACAGAGCGTGCTCACTCACTTTTGATTCCCTTGCTCCATTATGCTGTGTAATACTGGGTGCAGTGTCTCCAATGGTGACCTTTTAGATCATACTCAAATAAGTTCATATAGTGTAGGAGAAGACACTTTTTGGCAGCAGGAGAGACCAACAAAGATAGACTGGCTAGCCAAAGCTTTGCCTTTGTTTTGAAAAATTTATTTAAAAAATGAAAATACAGACAAGTTTGTCTGTATTTCTACCATTCATAGTGAGTAAATAAACTGAAAACTTTATAGTGAAATATTCCATCTGTAGGAACATCTGTTGATTCTCTCTTGTCCTTCAGGATTTTTACTTTTCAAAAAAATCTTTCCTTATTCAGCTAAAACAAAACAGTTTTTTCCTTTAACATAGGAGTGTTAACCTGGGTTATGGATAGAATGCATACCCTGAAATTAATACACAAGATTTTGTTGAAGGTGTTTTTTTCCCTTCCTTCCCAAGCCAGGTGGTAAGTGCGTAGAAGTTTACTAGATAGCCAGAGAGGTGTATGACCTCAATTTCCTCCACCATCTTACTGTTTTGAAACATTGTTGTTAAAGCAATGGGGACTGTCATAGCCATGTTTTTAGATCTTTCAAAGTATGGAAACTGCTTCTAAGAAGGTAATGTGGTAATAGAGATGACCTATCTGTAAAATACTAGGTCTAAGATTCGTCAGTTCTTCCTGGTAGACCACCCTTGTGCCTGCTTTGTTTCCTATGATGTACTGGTCTGTGTTATATAGGCCTTAGGACTTACCTGGTCTAGGTTTTCATGAAGTCAGGTCTCTGAAATAATGATATTTTATAAGTATTATTAGCCACTTGGCAGGAAATTTTTGGAGCTTCAACTCCTCCCATTCCCACTCTACCCCATTCAGGGGATTGAACCCAGGATTTTCACACTGAGCCATATACCCAGCCTCTTTTTTATTTAGGACAGGGTCTTGCTAAGTCATTAAGATCCCTAGGCTGGACTTGAATTTCAGATCCTCCTGCTTCAGCCTCCCAGAGTGCTGGGATCACAGGCATGCACCACCATACCTGGTTTAGTCGCACTTTAAACCATAGGAACCTGGAATGGGAGTTACGATTGTAAAAGTTTTCAGTATTCCATAACCATCAAATAATTATTAGTCTTATTTTTAGAATGCTTCTACCTACCTTCTCATTATGCTATCCCACTGAATAGAAAAACAATTTTTAGGTATTAAGATATTGTGTTTAATTTGCAACAGTAGTTTATTTTGTCTATAAATAGGTTAGAAAGTGTAGATATAATGAGGATCCTTACGAATTTTCCATACTTGACCAAAGATGAGAAAGAATTACAACTTCACAATGGGAGATGCAGTGCCTGCTGATACTATTATGTTTTTATTAGGACCAATATCCATGGTAACCTATGCCTAATTTTCTTCTG